GTCGGAAGGCTGACAAGAAGCAAATGCCAACATCTGTCTAACTCAGGGGGGAGCAATGATTTTGGCCTCTTCGGGCCCTCCTGGAGGATCTCTTGGAGGTCTCTTGGGCCGGTTTGGAGGCCTCTTGGGGGCCTCTGGGGCCGTCTTGGAGGCTTCTTGGGCGAACTTGGATGCATCTTGGACTCTTCTTAGGCCGTCTTGGAGGCCATCCTGGACCATCTTGGGCGAACTTGTAGGCAATCTTGGCCGTCTTCGAGGCCATTTTGGGCCATCTTGGAGCCATTCGGAGCAGACAGAACCTTGGCAACTGGGTCTTCCGGGCGGCTGGCGCGCTGTGCCGAAGCCCAGGGAGAGTTTTGTGAAGGAGCCAAAAACCTCTCGGACGTCCAGCATGCCATGCGTCCCTGTGGCAAGGCCAACAGGCGGCGGCGGATCTAATGGCCTTCGGCCCATCCCGCCACCGTGCCTGTGTTGTGGGTATGAAGCCGACTGGATGTTGCTTGGGCCGGAGGATGAGGAGGATGGTGGGGGAGGATGGGGAGGAGGAGGAGGAGGAGGAGGAGGAGGAGAGGCGGGAGGAGGAGGAGGAGGAGGAGGAGGAGGAGGAGGAGAGAGGAGGGGGAGGAGGAGGAGGAGTGATAACAAGAGAAGGAGGAGAGGAGGAGGGGGAGGAGGAGGAGAGGGAGGAGGAGGAGGAAGAGTATTGGATTGGATTGGACTGGATTGGACACTTCGAGCGGACAAGCTGGAGCTTTCCAGCATGGACGGTCGGGGTGGAGCTGACTGGCCCGCTCGTGCGGTTCAGGGGGCCTGCTCCAACCGAAGTGCCAGAAAAGCCCAAGCTCCTTTCCCAGCCGTCCACGCGGCCCAGCAGCAAGCGACAACAAGGTCCTTAACGGCCCAGACCGTTATGGCTGAATGGACGGCAAACTGTATTGCCTCGTGATATTAATTTTCAACCGCATTCTCACCCTCGTCTCATCTCCTCCGAACCTCCACCACCCCATCTCCGATCTTCGAGGGAAGGGCATGAATGAGGCAGGAAGAAGGACGACGGCTAAGCAGGAGCAAAACGCTTGGCCCTCACATTCGCCTCCTTGTCCTTGCTCTTGGCAGGAGGCACTCCTGTGCCGAACTGAGCAAGACGGTCTTCACGAGACACGTGGCGAGCAGCCGGGGCTCGCACTTGGGCCCGCGAGCCTTGGCCGTCTTCATCAGAAAGCTCAGCAGGACCAGTTTCACTGTCGCTAGTGCTAAAGCGGCGCGTCCTCATACCGGCACGGCATTCAGGCGGCACCGCGCGAAGAGCATGTCCAGTGACGAACCGATCCTGACGAGCAACACGACGATGTGCGTGGCTATCGTCAAGAGCTGCAAGAGCAGCGGGCCGATGACCAGCAGCAGGCACCTCCCGGCCCCAAGCAGCAGGATCTTCACGGCGAGGACCACGATGAGCCATAGGCCTTCCACGCACGGTATGAGCAGCACCGTCAGCTTCTTCGCGAAGATCTGTATGCATCCGCGCAGGCGCAGCGGATGACCACGGGTCACGACCACCACTCCAAGGATCACGATCAGCACCACGACGTGCAGCAGGTAGCACTCCACCAGCATCACGAGGTGGTCCTCCGTGGGGAGCTTGACGGCGAAACGCCGAGCCAAGACTACGACCAGCTGCGACAGGATCTGGCCCTGTAGACGGAGCACACCGGCCACCCCTCAGGGCAGCCGCCAATGCGGCCCCAAGGCGTGATGGCCTGCAGACAGGAGGAGTAGGATGAGGAGGAGGACGGATGAGAAGGAGGAGGAGGTATGAGCAGGAGGAGGAGGAGAAGGAGGAGGGGGAGGAGGAGAAGAAGGAGTAGGAGGAGGAGAAGGAGGAAGAGGAGGAGGAGGAGGAGGAGGAGGAGGAGAAGGAGCAGGATGAGATGATCATGATGCTGCTGCTGAAGACGATGCTGCTGATAAAGATGACGGAGATGATGACGATTGCGATGACGGTGAAGACGCCGACGGCGACGATGATGATGATTGTGATGGTAATGATGATGGTACTGATGTCGATGATGATGATGTCGATGATGATGCTGCTGCTGATACTGATCATGATGCTGATGATGATGACTATGGTGATGATGGTTGTGATGATGCTGATGATGGTGATGGTGATTGTGATGGTGATGACGATGACGAGGAGGAGGAGGAGGAAGAGGACCATGAGTCTAATGCCGATTGTGATTGTGATGGTGATGGTGATGATGATCCTGATGATGATGCCGATTATGATGAAGATGATGAACAAGGTGCTGATGATGATGCTGCTGATGATGATGATGCTGATGGTGCTGCTGCTGATTATGATGATGATGGAGATGATGCCGCTGATGATGATGATGATGATGCTAATGATGCTGAACCTGCTGCTGCTTATGATGCTGATGATTATGCTGATGGTGATGATGATAATGATGGTGATAATGAATGATGATGCTGACGACGATGATGTTGATGGTCATGATGATACTGATGATGCTGATGATGATGATGATAATTTTGATGATAATGATGCTGCTGCTGATGCTGCTGATGATGATGATGATGTTGTTGATGATGATGATGATGGTGATGATGATAATGGTGGTGGTGGTGATGATGATGGTGATGGTGGTGATGAGAAGTGGTCGGGCACCTCCTGGCCAGGTGCAGGAGATTCTCGCGCACCTCCTGGCCGACGCCGCGGCGGGCATGATGCGGGCGGCGCCCGAAGTGGCCCTTCTCCCGCGCCCCTGGGATTGGTGGGAGGAGGAGAAGGAGACAGTGAGGAGGGGGACGTTGAGGAGGGGGTAGGGGGAGGGGTAGGTGGGAGGGATAGGGAGACGTCGAGGAGGGGGAGGAAGAAGAGGAGGATGAACGAGAGGGATGCTGCTGCTGCTGATGATGACGGTTATGACGATGATGAGGATGATGATGATGATGGTGATGAGGATGGCGATGACGATGACGGTAACGATGACGACGAGGACGATGATGATTTTGATGACGATGAGGATGACGATGATGTTGATGATGGTGATGCTGATGATGAGGATGTTGCTGCTGATGATGATGCTGATGACGATGATTCTGTCGATGACGACGACGACGATGATGACGATGATGATGATGATGATGATGATGATGATGATGATGATGGTGGTGGTGATGATGATGATGATGATGATACTGATGATGATGATGATGATGATGATGATGATGATGATCATGCTGATTTCGATGATGATAGGCTGATGATGATGATGCCGATGATGCTGCTGCTGCTGATGATGATATGACGATGGTGGTGATGAGGATGCTGCTGCTGCTGATGATGATGATGCTCATGATGGTGTTAATCATGATTTGGACGGTGGTGGTGGTGATGATGGTGCTGATGATGATGCCGATCGTGATGATAATGCTGATGATGATGAAGATCATGAAGAAGATGCTGATGCTGATGACCATGATGATGCTGATGCTGGTGATGATGCTGCTGCTGCTGATGCTGATGATGATGATACTCGTGATTGTGATGATGGTGATGATGCTGATGATGGTGATGGTGATCGTGATGATGATGAGGATGATGATGACGATGAGGATGAGGACCATGACGACGAGGATGGTCATTAGGATGAGGATGAAGATGAAGAGGATTCCGTTGAGGATGAGGATGAGGAGTATGATGCTGATGCTCATGAGGATGAGGATGAGGATGAGGATGAGGATGGTGATGATGATGATGATGATGATGATGATGATGATGATGATGATGATGATGATGACGATGATGATGATGATGATATACATGATAATAATGATTCTTTTTTTGATGCAGATGCTGATGATGATGATGATCATGCGTTTGATGATGCTGGTGATGACGAGGATGATGATGATGCTGCTGATGATGCTGATGATGATGATGACGATGCTGCTGCTGCTGATGATGATGATGCTGATGGTGGTGCTGGTGATCATGATGATGATGGCGCTGATGTTGATGCTTTTGCTGCTGATGATGATGCTGATGCTCATGATGATGCTACTGATGATGTGATTATCATGTCGTTCATAATGTCTCCCAGTAGCCCATCGGGCCGTCTTGTGGCGATCTTGGGGCCTCTTAGGCCATCTTGGGCCATTTAGGCCTCTTGGGGCCCGGGACCTGAACATATTCACCGTGGATTTGGCATTGTTTGCCCGACCGTTTCGGAACCGATCGGTGCTCAACGCGTGTCAAGGGATTGGGCAGGGCTCGGACGGGGGGGTGGTTGGCGAGGCTCTGGGTGGAGGCCTGGCAGGGCATCCTGTGAGAGGGGGCTCTGCAAACTGCTTGTCTACAAGTTCCCTCATGTATTTCATGTGTCTCCGCGCCGCTTGCTGCGACGCGCGGCCTCACGTCTTGGGGATAGCGCCTCGGCCACCAGGACAACTCCACCTCGGACGCAAGGTTCGCGGTGATGTTTGCCGCGGTGCCGATTTCGTCCACTTGGGTGCGTTCAGAGCAAGCGGCGTGGCGTGCGGGTTGTCCGTAGCCATTGTGGCCCAAGGCGTTGGGCTCGAAACCACGGTTTCTTCGGCCCGCCTTTCTGGGGCCATGTGCGGGATCTTCGCATACATCGGGGCCCGGCAGGTTCTGAATCTGTTGATCACAGCTTTGAAGCGGCTGGAATATCGTGGCTATGACTCTGCAGGCGTGGCAATTCACGGGAACCCGTTGAAGTTGATGAAGAAGGAAGGAAAAGTCAGCAATCTTGAGGGGGCTTGCCGCAGTGCCGAGCTCGAGGGCACCTGCGGCATGGCCCACACGCGCTGGGCGACGCACGGGAAGCCCTCCGACGTCAACTCCCACCCGCACACCTCGCAGGACCGGAGCGTCGCCGTCGTGCACAATGGCGTCATCGAGAACTACCAGGCGCTGCGGCAGCAGCTCACCAACAAGGGCTACGAGTTTGTCTGATGGGCCTGTTTTCCACCACCACCGCCATCAGTTGGAGGGGGAAGGAGGTGGAGGACGAGGAGGAGGAGGACGAAGAGGAGGAGGAGGAGGAGGAGGAGGAGGAGGAGGAGGAGGAACCCCTCCTCCTCAAACTTATGGTGGTGATGGTGATGGTGGTGGAAAACAAGCCAATCATTTGTCAGCGAGACGGACACCGAGCTGCTTGCGCACCTGGTGTACGACATACGGCAGGACATGCCCAAGGCCAAGTGGAGCTGGTCTCAGGTGGTGGCCGTGGCGCTGCAGAGGGTCGAGGGCGCGTATGGTCTCGTGTTCCTCTTCCAGGACGAGCCAGATCTGCTCATCGGCGCGCGGAAGGGATCGCCGCTGGTTCTCGGCGTCGGGCAGGGCGAGCACATGCTCGCCAGCGACGCGTCAGCCATGATAGAGCACACGAAGGACGTCGTGTACATAGAGGAGGGCCAGCTGGTCGAGGTCCAGAGAAGCGGGTACAAGACTTTCAGCGTGTCCGACATTTTCGAGAAGACGAGCAAGAAGATGGAGCGGGATGTGGCCCAGAGCCGATACGAGAGCCCCCGCCCCAACACACCGGGCGAGGTCTTGGACAACCCCATCGTGAGGCTGGAGATGTCGCTCGAGCAGCTGGAGAAGGGAGGGTACCCGCATTTCATGCTCAAGGAGATCATGGACCAGCCCAGGTCGCTCCGCAACGCGATGCGGGGGCGCATCTACAGAACGGGAGACTCCACGTGGCAAATCAAGCTGGGCGGCCTGGACAAGCCCCTCGAGGAGTGCAGTGGGACAAGCGCCCTCGAGAGGATGGCCGTTGCCAAGAGGATCATCATCTGTGCCTGTGGCACCTCCTGGCACTCGGGCCTGATAGGCAAGTATGCGATGGAGAGCCTGGCAGAGATACCGGTTGAGGTGGAGTATGCGAGCGAGTTCCGCTACCGGCGGCCGCTCATCTCGAAAGAGGACGTGATCGTTGCAATTTCACAGAGTGGTGAGACCGCCGACACGTTGGAGGCCATCCGGATCGCCAAGGCGCACGGCGCCCTGACTATCGGCATCGTGAACGTCGTCGGCTCCAGCATCGCCCGCGACACGGCGGCCGGCGCATACCTTCACGCAGGTCCAGAGATCGGCGTCGCGTCGACCAAGGCGTTCACATGCCAGGTCGTGGCGATGATCATGATAGCCCTGAAGCTCGGAAACCACAGGGGGGTGCTAAGCCAGGATGACCTGACGGGCTTCTGCGAGAGCCTGGACTCTGTGCCAGACTTGATCGAGGCCTGGCTCGAACCCCTGAACAAGCAGGTTCAAGGCATCTCCAAGTACCTCCGCTTGGCATCGACATGCCTGTTCTGTGGATGTGGTGTCCAGTTTCCTGTAGCCTTGGAAGGGGCATTGAAATTGAAGGAGATATCTTACATCCATGCCGAAGGCTTCACCGCAGCGGAGATCAGACATGCCTCCAATACTTTAATCAAAGGCTTTATGCCAGTCGTTGTCATCGCTATGACATCGGACCCTGGGTATAACCATATCAAGGAGCATATAAACGAGTTGGGCTCGAGGGACGCGGCCCTCATAGTCATCACAGACCAGGGCAATGACGATTTTAATCGGGTTGCGAGCTTTGTTGTCCATTGCCCTGGCACGAAAGTAGAGCTTCAACCTCTGCTTTCAGCCGTTCCGCTGCAGCTTTTGTCGTACCATATTGCTGACATGCGTGGCTGTAGTATAGATCAGCCCAGGAATCTTGCGAAGAGTGTTACTGTCGAGTAGGTTCGCTGCGGAAGCAGCGATGGTACTCCCACGGGGCAGACTGGAGCTGGCGGCTGGTGCAGGGCCGTCGGCCGCAGTTATTGCCTGGCATCGTTCTAGTGTGCGCAGTCATTCTCAGGGCACCTGCGAGCCAACCATTAGCTTTTTCCTACCCAGGATTCACACTGATACCCTCCTCCCTCCCCCATTCTCAGAGGAGGGAGGAGGGCACCATCGCTGCACGCGGGGAGGGAGGCGGGAGGAGGGACAGGAACGAGGCAAAGGAATGAGGAAGGTCCGCTTCCCTCCTCGCTCCTTCCTCGCCCCTCCTCTCCCTCACCTTCCCTTCTTCCTCCTGCCCCCCCTCCTTCTCCTGCCCCCATTCCTTTTCCTGATAACTATCTCCTCCCTGCCGCACCCCGAGGCATGTCGGTAGGGCGGGCCAGGCGTTTCGCCGTAGTCTTACTCACCATGGATGATCCTTAAGCTGAGAATTTGCAGGAGTTTCATGGATGGAGGGCGGGTGGTTCTCAATATGTGGTTCTTGCCCCAGCGCCGCGCACATTAGCTGTAAGCTTTTGCAAGAGTTTCACGGATGGCGGTCCGCTTTTTAACATTTGCTTATCGCCTTAGCGCTGCGCGCATTCGTTTTAAACAAGTACACGAGCTTCACGGATGGATGGCGGATGGTGGTTCTTAAGCGTCGCGCGCAGTCGATTTTCGAGATTACAACAGTTTCACGGATTCTCATTGTTACCGTCCCAGATTTCGTGGTTTGGCACGATGTCGGACGGTGAGGACACAACAGGTACGTTTATTCGCGGTGGTGAAGTTCCAGAAATGGTGTTCGGGCACGATTCATGACCGTTAAGACGCAAGGGTCAGGGCGATTCGCGGCGTCGACGTCCCAGGAATGGTGTTCTGGCACAGTGCAGGATTTTCAAACGGTTGTCTTCAAACGGCGCGCTTCCCTTAGGGCAGATGAATGCGTGTAGGGGCC